TCATACCTTAAAGCTGGGTTCATTTGACCAAATTTTTAAATAACTAAAGAAAGCAATGCTTTCAGGAACACTATTTGTATGTTGCTTAAAGAATATTTGCTACTAGCATCAAGGAAGGGATGTTTTTTATAAAAATGAGGTGGAGCATGTGGAAAAGTTATTAGGCAACAGGAAGTTTAACACTTGCCTACTGCAGACCTGCCTGTGTTTAGGAGATGTTCCCCAGGCTCATTTGGCTTCTGTTGCCTTGCTAAGCTCAGCACCCTCTTTGTTAAAAGCGGCTTGGATTGCCAGCATTTCCCTCCCTCCTTTGCATTTTGTTGCAGTAAATCAATATATTCTTAGTAGATAAAGGAGAGGTTTGTTTTTAAGTAAAAATTTAAAAGTCGTTATTAAAACAACCTTTATTTTTTGAGATGGTATCATTTGGACATGACCTGATGAATAGTTTACTCTAGCAGTCTCATTAATCAGCTTTTTTGTTAACTACCTACATCCTGGGTAAAGAAACATGAGCATATCAGAATGGAAACAAAACTAGAGCCCTGGGTTATTGGGGTATTCGTATGTACTCTGCACAGTTGCCCTTTTTTTTAGGAGAGTTTCCTGGAAAGAGGGCCGATGAACCTGGAAGTAAGTAAAAGCCATTCTAGGTGTGTAGCAACAAGGCAGTTGATACCCGAGCATCAGCTAATTTTTCTCTCAGTACATCAACACTGCATGGCCTGCACCAATAAGGAACTGAACCAGGGGTACGTTTACCTCCACAGCCGCCTCCTTCCATCAGAGCGCCTTGTTGAACTTAATGTCTGTCACACACACCATTGGCATGCTTTCCCCCAGCATGTAGTTAAAAAGCTGGGGGAGAAGATTAGACAGTTTACGTACTGTCAGAAAACCAGATTTAACAAATTTGGTATTAACTTGTCAATACAGGAATGTGATTGATGAATACTATTTCTAGATTTACCAAGAATTTTGATCCCCTCTATTGATAAGTTAATAACATTTATATATTTGCTGGAGAATGTAAATTTAAAATTTAATAACAAGGAAATAAAGAACGATTTGGAGACATCACACAAAAAAGACCGACAGTAGAATTTAGTAGTAGTTTGTTCTATGTATATGGACGCCTCAGAGGCATCCATTTCTTAATGTGTGACAATAATTGGCTTGATCATGCTAATGTATATCCTTGTGCATCGTATGACATTAAGTGGTGTGCTGCTGTGATGGAAATTACGGTTCAGTGGGTTGGATACGAGAGAGATGACTGTTCACAGAATAGCCTGTGAACTCTCACCCCTCTGTATGGAAACTTGTTTCAGGGCCCAATCCTTGTAGCTGTCTTCTTGCCCGGGTCAGTGCCAGCCCTACTATTCACAACCCTGCTGCCACCGAGGCCTAGGTATGTAAACGTTTAAGGAGTTCTACGTCTTTTAACATCGAGCTAGGTTTTACAGGAATTCAAAGTCAGTTTGGTATAACAACAGGTTCTTTTATGTGGTTGTCTTCCATTGCTTACTGTGTTAATGATTTTATGGAGTCATTCTTTTGTTTCGTAGGGTTTTTCTATGTAAATAGTCATACTTGCTCCATGGTAGAATGGGGAAATAAAATGGGTGATAACAGTATGCTGCTTCAGTGTCCGAACTATTTCTCAAATGACTTCTGGGCTTTATTTATTAACTATTGTAGGTACACGCGGGACAATTGCTGACTGCTTTAACATTGCCTTCTTTTTATTTCACAAGCTAAGAAGAGATACCAGTGAACGTAAATAGTGGACGAAAACAGGAGTGTTCTAATTTTTTTTGGAGGGGGCACAAGGGCCACTGTTTTAAAACTGCCATTTATATGCCTTACGTGACTTTCAAAATACTATTATGCTAATGTGGAAAAATTAGAACATACACACTACAGTATGTATAAGAAGCATTTAAACTTAACTGCTATAACTATAACAGATCTAGAAGTAAAATAAGATTTCTTTTTTAAAAAATTTACACTGAGTTTACAGTCAAATTCTAACTGTAAATTGGGATATTTTACCTTTCTTTGGACAGGATCAATTCTTAAGAGCAGCCCCAGTAACTGGAGGAATGGGAGCCGTTTTGATGAGAAAAATGGGCTGGAGAGAAGGAGAAGGATTAGGAAAAAACAAAGAAGGAAATAAGGAACCTATCCTAGTTGATTTCAAGACTGACCGAAAAGGTAACAAGTTTTTGGGGAAAGGTTATTATACCCCCTTTAACAGTTCAGGTTTCATTACAGTATCTACATTCTTTTTTTTCATTTTTATTTTTTATTTTATTGATTTTTTACAGAGAGGAAGGGAGAAGGATAGAGAGCTAGAAACATCGATGAGAGAGAGACATCGATCAGCTGCCTCCTGCACACCCCCCACTGGGGATGTGCCCGCAACCAATGTACATGGCCTTGACTGGAATTGAACCCGGGACCTTTCAGTCCGCAGGCCGGTGCTCTATCCACCAAGCCACACCGGTTTCGGCTGTATCTACGTTCTTTTGATGTCTGACTCTGACCTGCAGGCACTCTACTTATACAGCTGTTCCTTAGGGGTGGGGTTTAACCTATTCCCAACACCTTATATAATTATAGAAGGAAACACTAATTTTAGCTTTAAAAAGGCAACCTGTGTTAATGTTAGTTGCTAAAAATTATGGAACTTTGAATATATCTATGATTAATATTTTAGCTAGATTTTATATTTATAAAGCAACTGTTTTGATGGAATATATTCTTAACTTTCTTAGATATTTTATCCCACATATTCTTTTTATTTCCTATTAAAGTGTTGCTTAGTCTCTGCTTTATAAACCCTCTTTTCAAACTCAGTAAGTCAGTTCTTTTGGGTTGGGGAATAGCAGATCAGCTGCCTACACTAGTGCTACTTTTTCATAACACCCTGAGTTTTGGGCACCCAAGTATAATCCATGGGAATGCCAACTCAGTGTGATGATTGGAACTTATTTAAGTCTAGTTTTTAAAATTCCAAATTTATTTTGTATTCAAATAGAGATTTCACTGAGATTAATGCAATTACATTATTCATTCTTATTGACTTTGGAAACTTAATAGCTCCAACTAAAATTTTTTTATTGTTTTGCATCAAATTTTCTACATTGCCATCTATGTGGAATACCATGTTGCCATTTTATTTTAAACCGGTGGGAATATATTTTAATAATGATAATCAAAAGAGCATGGAAGTAAGATTACAGTCATCCTGTGATACAGCATTAATTCAAGCTTTAAATTAAACAAGGAAAGAGCATTTTGCTCGTTATGTCATATTGACATTTTATTGCTTGTACAAGCTGAATAGATAGATTCTCTGTGTCACGAAAAGATGGTTTATTGGAAGAAAACTTGTTGGATGTTTTGCATAAATTTCAGGGAGAACATTCATGGGTTGGGTTTGGGAAAACAGGAGCAGAATTCGAAATTGGAAGAACATTGGTTTTGCATAGTGACATAGCTGTTACTTTGGAAAGGGAGGTTATGCATTGTGTGTTCGTCTTTGAAGAACACCTCTTATTTGATGAGTCAGAAAGGGCTTCGTTGCTGGGGTTGGGGAGGAATGAACCCCACTTATCAATTAGACTTTTTTACTTGTGTGTGACCTAAAATCCTCATCTTTTGAGGAACATACTTTTTACTGAGCATCGTCTTTTAAAGAATGGGCAACCAACCTTTAGAAACCAGTTGCAATAAATAGCCACTACTTTTTAAACATACAAAGCAACAGACCTGGAGTTGATAATTATGGCACTTAATTATATGTGTATTCACATACTAAATGCTTGTTTTCTGAACATTTTATATAATTTCCAGTGCCAGGGTGTATGAATATGTTTATTTCTATGTTGAAACACAGCAAAATAGAAGTCCAGATTGATCTAGAAACAAGGGTAAGGGGAATGTGTTGAAGATTTCCTTGAAGTTTATCATGAACATTGTTGTTTTTTTGTAAAAGGTCTTGTGGCTGTAGGAGAAAGAGCCCAGAAGAGGTCTGGAAACTTCTCTGCTGCAATGAAAGATCTGTCAGGTGAGGGGACACTGGATTCTTCCCACCCATCCTTTCAATTCATAACTGGTTGCCACAGATGGTGCAGATAATTAATAACTGGCTATTTTTTCCTCTGCAGGCAAACATCCTGTGTCTGCCTTGATGGAAATCTGTAATAAGAGAAGGTGGCAACGACCTGAATTTCTCTTGATCCATGATAGTGGCCCTGATCATCGCAAGCATTTCCTCTTTAGGGTAAATATGAATTTCTGCTTTAATTGTATACATTTATTAATTTGATGACAATGTTAGTGGGAGAGGGATAAGTAGGATTGATATATTTGTGGGCTGGGAGTGTGCATATGTATAGGTAGAGAGGAGGGGTTTTTAAACATACAAGTATGCCTCTTAATATGACTTTTAAAAACCTTATTTTAAAAATATGTTGGAAGGGAATGATGTGGGCAAAATCTTGTGAACTATTTGTTGCCATATTCTAGTAGGGAATGGGGAATTAACTTAGAACTGTCAGGCTTTTTTCCATTTGGAGGCCTGCTTTTAATTTGCTGTCTCTCCCCAATGATTTGTTCCTTCTGGGTTGAGGTTAATTTGACTTATATAGTACGGGTTTAATTTAGTTTTCTAGCATTTAGTGAAAAAATAAAAAGCTAATAGATATTAAAGTTTGATGCTGTTCTTATTGTATGTTTTTCTTGAATAGGTATTGAGAAATGGAAGCCCTTACCAGCCCAATTGTATGTTTTTCTTGAATAGGTATTGATAAATGGAAGCGCTTACCAGCCCAGGTTTGCCAGCCCTAATAAGAAGCATGCTAAAGCCACAGCAGCTACTGTGGTTCTTCAAGCAATGGGCCTTTTACCAAAGGACCTCATGGCTAATGCCACTTGCTTCAGGAGTGCCTCACGTAGATAGATTGAGGTTTTATATTAATCATTTCAGATAATTTTACTCCGCATCAAAATGTATTTCCTCCTTAATGTTGTAAATATTTGGCAATTTAAAACATTGTGTAAAAAGCAATCTGTACAAACATCTCCCGGCTTTGATTTTTGTACCATGGAAATTGTATTTAACCATACAGGGTTTTGGTATGTTTATATTGTTTACCTTAGTGATGTATTTGTTTAAGTGGCTAACACCCAAACGATTGTTTGAAGGCATCCGTAATCTTCAGTGTGGAATGTTAAATGACGCTTTTATACTGTATTTTGTACTATGATGTAACTCCCCTTCCTGTGGCTAGGCTGCTGTAACACTTGCCTGTAATCAGTGAAGGGCTGTGCACCTTGTACTAGTTCACAATGGGTTCTGCTGGACAGATACTGGGGCCAGTGTTATTGATGTAATCAAGCAAGATCTGTTCCACAGGGCTGAAGCCACCATCTCCCTTACAATTTTGTAGAAGTTATAAAAGATAAAAGGAAAGTGTATGTTGTGTGATGATCAGCACCAAGTCCTGCGTTCCCGTCAAAGCCACTTGGGCTATGAGAAGGGAGTCACAATGAAGTCTGACTAGAATTCTACTGCAGAGGCCAAGTCCATTTAGTATGGCATTGAGTTGTGATAGTTTTACTTTGATGTGCATTTTGAATTTCTGCTACACCTAGATAGACGTAAAATGATAATTAAAATGCTGTAACCAACTTATCTAATAAAATTGGCACCCAGCCACTATTTTGTTGACTGAGAGTTTAAGTTTATGTTAATTTTTAGGGTCTGATAGAATATTTCATGTGTATTACAGTGGTATTCATATGCTGTCTCTATACTTTATTTTCAAAAGCTTAAGGCCCGAAATATAAACTTCTCTGGAATAAATGTGGTGTTTTATTTTCTGGAATGTAAAGTGAACACACTTTTTAACTAAATACTGTTGTTTCTCTACCCAATGCTTATGATTTCTAAGCACTTTTATTTAAGAAAATTTGAACTAGACACACACACACATTAAATACTACTTTGCCATGATGGATGAGCGTACTTGAAACGCTTAATACACTATTCTATGTGGAATACAAAATAAAATTACCCTGACCTGAATTAACATGCCTATGTATTGGAGAGAATTGTAAAGAAGTAAGAAGCATCCACAATCAACTCAGCAGACATTGTATAAATTTGGTTTCTACCTTCACAAGCTAGAACCTCATTACCCTTGGCTCCAGTTTTGCCCAGATGTCATTGATACTAATTTAGCCTCAATTTTCCATTTCAAAGGAAGCACTTGACATTGATGGAATTTTCTATCCAGTTTATAATTAGGTTATAGGGATCTAGTTCTTTCAAGTTACCCAAGTTTTTCATATCTGAATATCTTATAGAAAAAATAGTAAAGCTAGAATGCCGATCTAAGATCTTAACACATGCAAGAAATATTAATGGTTATTCCTTTAACTTCCAAAATGAAATTAAAAGCCAAAGGTATAAGAATCTTGAATTTCCTTGCCAGAGGCTTTTTTCCTCAAAGATTCCTTTTAGGCTTACTTTGGTGGTCAGGCTCTCCAATTATAAAGGTAGTCACTCATGTCCACATTCCGTAAAGAGGATTTCCCCAGTAACGGTGTTTGGCTAAGCTGGTCCAGAGTCTTAGGGTGCAACCCACAGTTAGCAAGCTCCTCACGAACAATCTCCTGTGGGAATTGGTACACCAGTCAATGAAAGCACACCAGCCATTCGAACACTGTAATAGTTACCATGGGAACTTTGTACTATTCATTATCAACAAAAGTTGACTTAAAAGAATTTTTGCATAGTTTTAATTTTAACCTCTAAATAAAATGTGAAAACATCAAAAATTAAAAGCCATTTGTTAAATCCTCATACTGACTTGCCTTTTTTTCTTTTTTGGTGGGGGTAGTTTTTAAGTCATTGCTAAGTACAACAGCTTGAGATAAAAACTTACAGTAACAGACATTATCCCTTCCTCTCAATAATTCTAATCTAAAATTAGTAAATACATTTACTAACTTGAAAGTTTGGCTCATTATAAATCTGTCACCTACTTTGAAGAAACTGTCAGTCTGTTTACAGCTCTCCACTTACCTTTCCCGGGACTTGGTCCACTGGGGGGCAGATGTTGAACACTGCGGTTGGCTCGTGGGTATACAGTCCTGCAGAAAATGACCCACTCTGTGAGGATCTGAGCAGCATGGTCACAGAATGTAGAGAATGAGGCATGATGGGACCTGTGATCTCCAAGCTGAATTGATCTTTGTATCCAGAAACACACTGCTTCTTCACATTTACACTTCGTGCCTTCCAAAAAATTAAAGGGGAAAATATGGTCATCTCTCAAGCTTTTGTCCTTAGCTAACAATGTGTTCACTAACTTTTCATTAGGATTTTCCTCTCTTTACGAGTTACGGAACAAAAGTAGTTCATAAGATATGAAAAGGCTGAAACTGGTTTGGCTCAGTGGATAAAGCGTAGGTCTGCAGACTGAAAAGTCCCAGGTTTGATTCCGGTCAAGGGCATGTACATTGGCTGTGGGAACATCCCCAGTAGGGGGTGTGCAGGAGGTAGCTGGTCGATGTTTCCCTCTCATCAATGTTTCTAGCTCTCTATCCCTCTCCCTCTCTGTAAAAAAGCAATAAAATATATTAAAAAAAACAACAACACACAAAGTGTGTAAGAATAAAAGTGTTTAGTAAATTCTGTCTCCAGTATCCTTTATTCCAAATTATGAGATTGTCAGTTTAAGTAGATTCTAGAAAACATATTTTCATATATGGTATTCACTCTGATTTAGTAATACACTTTCAATAAAGAATATTGCTAAAACAAATAAATCGATTCTACTGCTAACATTCAGTACATATTTGTTTATCATTTTCACCAACAGGGGTCCACAGGCACCCCTGGCAGCTTTGAGGGTTTGCTTCCAGACCACTGCAGTAAAGGGCGCGCACGTGAATGAGCTGTTAACGTTTTGCTGGTGGAGGGTCTTGCTTTCAATTTGTAAAAAATGCAACACCTGTGAAGTGCAATAAAATGAGGTCTACCTGTACAGTTATTTTTTCACTTATTCATGATCCAGTTTTTGAGATAATTCGATATTCCTGTCTCTCCAGACAAGTGCCCTGGCCACTGTGGCTCGGTTGGAGCGACGTCCAGAACGACAGAGTTAGTGACTTGACTCCTGGTCAGGGCACTTTCCCAGGTTGTGAGTTTGATCCCCAGTTGGGACACACGTGGGAGGCAACCAATGGGTGTTTCTTTCTCTCTTAAAAAAAAGAAAAATAAATGAGACCATTTTTCTTTATGGCGAAGAAGATTAATACCAAAACTTTTTTTTTTTATATATTTTTTAATTGATTTTTGTACAGAGAGGAAGAGAGAGGGATAGAGAGTTAGAAACATCGATGAGAGAGTCATCAATCAGCTGCCTCTTGCACACCCCCTACTGGGGATATGCCTGCAACCAAGGTACATGCCCTTGACCGTAATCGAACCCTGGACCTTTCAGTCCCCAAGCCGACGCTCTATCCATTGAGCCAAACTGGTTTAGGCAATACCAAAACGTTTTTTGTTGCCAGTTTTGTATTAATACTTGGTAAGAAAAGTTATTTCCATATAATTCATATATTTTCATGTAACTCCTTTGATATAACTACATCAAATAATTTTTTACTGGGAGAAAAAACAAAAAGGCAACATAAAAATGCTAATAAAACAAGTAAAAAATTTATCCTATTAAAAAAGGAAAAGTACTGTTTAAGAAGCTAGGTTACTTACTTCCAGTCAGAACAGCAGAGTAGGTAGTGAACACTGTTCAGCCTCTCCCATGACCACATCAAAATTGCAACTAAACTGTAAAGCCCCCTTCAGAACCACCTGAAGTCCGGCTGAACAAGTCCTACCCCTAAGGACATGAGAAAGCAGCCACACTGACACTGGGAGGAAGGCTGAGGATGCAGACTGGGCTGGTGGGTAAAAACCAGGACGGCTATCGCTGCAGAGGTCCCGGCTGCGGACGCAGCCAGCCCCACAGCAGGCTGCCAGCAGGGCTGGCTCTAATGGCAGTAGAGAAGTCCAAGTACCTTCAGGCTGGAAAACCAGATGTGGCTGAATGAGCCTAGCACTGCTGTAGTCCCAGGTGTTGCTCTTAAAGGGCCCCCCACATATTTCCTCCCTGACAGACTCACTTGTTCTGAGCTCCAGCACTGGGGCAGTGGCATAAAAGGCACCAGAGACATAGGGCCCACACCAAGACACATCATAATTAAAACACCAAGGGTTAAAGACAAAGAGAGAATCTTAAAAGCAGCAACAGAAAAGCATTTGGTTACATACAGGGAGCTCCCATAAGATGGTCTGCTGACTCATCAATAGAAACTTTGAGGGCCAGAAGTGATTGGCATGAAATATTCAGTGATGAAAAACAAGGATCTACCACAAAGACTACTTTACCCAGCAAAGCTTTCTTTCAGAATTGAAGAACGGATAAGGAAACAGACAAGGAAAAGCTAAAGGAGTTCTTTATTACCAAACCAGTATTACAAGAAATGTTTAAGGATTGCTTTAAGAGGAAGAAGAAAAAATATGAATAAAATGGCAATAACTATACCTATCAATAATTACTTTAAATGTAAATAAATGGGTTAAATGCTCTAATCTGAATGGATATTAAAACAAGACTCATACATATGCTACCTATAAGAAGGCCACTTAAGATAAAAAGATACAGACTGAATAAAGAGATGGAAAAAGATATTTCATTCAAAGGGAAATGAAAAGAAGAAAAAAAAAAAGCTGAGGTAGCAATTCTTGTATCAGACAAAAAAGAGTTTTAAAACAAAGGCTGTCACAGACAAAGATAGGATCCAGTGATTCCATTTATGGGTATTTATCTAAGGAAACCAAAAACAGTAATTCAAAATGACATGTGTATCCCAGTATTCTGCAACATTAACAACAGCCAGGATAGGAAAGTACCCGAAGGGCCCATCAATAGACGGATGGTGAAAGAGGTGGCACATACAGACAAGGGAATCAGCCATAAAAAAAAAAAAAGTGAAATCTTGCCATTTACAACAACATGGGTGAACTTTGACTATTTTATGCTAATAAAATAAGTGAGACAAAGAAAGACAAATACTATCTGATTTAATTTATGTGAATTTGAAAAAACAAAGAAACAAAACAAAGAGGAGAAACTGATGGTAATATGGGAGGGGGAGATGGGTTAAAGGGGAAGGAGTTAAGATGTACAATTTGCCACTTACAAAATCACGGGGCTGTCCAGTACAGCGTGGGAGGGAGTAAGACGGTAATACTGCATGGTGTCAGATGAGTACTAGACTTATTGTGATGGTCACTTCCTAAGTTACAGAAATGTCTAATCACTATATTGTACAATTGAAATGAATCTAATATTGTATGTCAAACTTAAGTGAAAAATAAAGTTATTTTTTTAAAAGAAGCTAGGTTGTGAAGATTAGTGTAGAATTACCCTCCACCCCTTCTTACCTTAAGCATTTGCATGGTGGCTCCTCGGAAAGCTATCGGTGACAGGAGAGTTGGTGGCAGTCCTGCCTGTGGTCCTGAAGCAGCGATTAAGCTCTTACAGTTGATCAAAAAATTGAGCAATGTAAAGGTGTTTGCTCCCTTCACCAACACAACAGACTCAGGCCTGTGATCCATCTGTACTTCATGTTTCTCTTTTCGCCTGAAGATGGCAATCAAGGAAATGGCAAGTGCGAATCCCATGCTAATGGGAAAAGCAGTATCTTGATTTTCAATCACCTGGGATCCCTTTTCCCAATTCCAAACTGGAAATGCTCATTATCATGTCTTCACTGCAATTAGAAGGCACCTATTTAAATCAAAATGCCCTGACTTTAACCTGAATTTGCTGGAAACTGACACCTAACAAAAATTACTTTACTAATTCCCCCCACAAACTTCAACACAACAGAATGCTCTTTTTAAAATACAGTTTCTTAGTTTATTGGTACTTAGGGTTTGTTACTTACTGCCATGAATTAATTTTAGGATGATCTTAAGATAATTTAAGATTATGGTCAGACAGGCTAGTGTGGTTCAAAGTTGAGCATCAACCCATGAACCAGGTCACCGGTTGGATTACTGGTCTGGGCACTTGCCCAGGTAGCGGGATCGATTTTCAATGGGGTGAGTACAGGAGGCAGCTGGCTGATGTTTCTCTCTCATTGATGTTTCTTTCTCTCCCTCCCCTTCCTCTCTTTCTAAAATAAATAAAAACATATTAAAACAAAACATTATGGTCAAATAAAACTGCCAGTCAATATCCCATTGCTCACTAACTTAATTCAATAAAAGTCAATTCTAGTTAACAGCAAATGAAAGGATACAGCTTGATAGAGAGTATGTCTGGCTTTTTAATTTTATCTTGCACACCAATCTCTTCCAGCCAGGAAAAACTTTCTTCTTCATCTTCATCACTGACTGCTTGCTCCCTAAAAAATTGCTATAGTTAGATTTCTCATTACAAAACGGCTGCACCAGGCGACAGCCACTGGCTGGCGGAAAAGGTCACTTCATCACATACTCCCCAGGCCCCACGCTTGTTCCAGGTGCTTTCTTCTTCTCGTGGCCACTTTCGGTTACTAACGGCAGAGAAAATTCGATGCCTACACGAGAAAAGAAAGACATAACTGAGTTTTCTTTACTATACTATTAAGTTAAAAAAATTTAATAGGTATGCCTTACTTTTAGAGTCCAAAATTTGAAAATGTGAATCTTTATATTTGATTATTTATTAAGGCAGCAGCTTTCAAACTTTAATTTTATTTTTCAATTAGTTTACACTCAGTATTACCTTGTACTAGCAGCCATAACACATCCATACATACCCATATCTCTTTGAAACAAAAGGTATAGGAAACTATACATTCTTACTACATGTGGTATTCTTTCATAAAGTATATACTACTCTTTCATTTTTAAAAATGCTGATTAAGCCCAGTAAAAATATTTTATGTCCACCCATGTGTTGACCCAGTTTGAAAACTGTTGTTCAAAGTGGTAGGTAATTTGTACTATAAGGAATTTTAAGAAGCGTATATTCAGATAGAGACTTTCCAACCCAGTATGTTTAGAGGTCTGTGAAAGGAAGATCATTAAAGCAATGTATAAGGAACAGTTTAAATAAATGCTATAAAAAGAATCAGAAAGAAATAAAATGTTTCTTAATATAGTTAAGCCCAGCCAGTATGGTGCAGTAGTTGTGCGTCAACCTATGAACCAGGAAGTCACGGTTCAATTCTGGTCAGGGCATATACTCGGGTTAGGGCACATACTTGGGTTATGGTCTTGTTTTCCCATTGGTGGGTGTGTAGGAAGCAGCTGATCAATGATTCATCATTGATGTTTCTCTCTCTATCTCTCCAAAATCAATAAAAATCTTAAAAAAAAAAAAAGAATATAGCTAAAACTAATAAAAGACAATTCACTCGACAAAGGGTATTTTTAACTTTCAAGAAGTTTACTATATAGTGGTATTCTTATTTTAAACTATAATTTTACCTTCATTTTTCATAGCTTCCCTTATACCTCTAGTTGTAGGCGATATGAGAGCCGTGATTACATCATTTCCGGCTAATCCTGCTGCACGAAACAGGATAGTAAATTGATAGGTACAAACGTAGAAATAGGGGCAAAGTTTTGTCTTCAGAAGATTATATAAAGAAGTGAAGCTCACAGACCTATGAAGCAAAAAATTGTCTTTAAACATTTAATTCCACATCTAAAATGTAATATTGTATAATTCAGCTTGATGTTCACTCTGATTTGAAACAACATAAAATATTACAGATAATGGTTTTCATTTTTGCTGTTACATATAACTTGGCTTTGAAATTACTGAAACTGGTCATGAGACTCACTGATAACATCTACATATTTAAACAGTGTTTACCATTTAAACACTAACCATTTTGTTCTTTGAATAAAATTTAATTGGTAACTTGTTGATAATTATCTTTGTGCAGCTTCTGCTGAGAATGGAAGCAGTCATTGACAAGAATCTTAAAGAATTATGTTTAGCCCTAACCGATTTGGTTCACTGGATAGAGCAATGACCTGCAAACTGAAAAGTCCCAGATTCGATTCCGGTCAAGGGCATGTACCTCGGTTGCAGGCACATCCCCAGCAGGAGGTATGCAGGAGGCAGCTGGTTGATGTTTCTCTCTCATCGATGTTTCTAGCTCTCTCTCTTTCTCCCTCTCTGTAAAATATCAATAAAATATATTTTAAAAAAGTAAACAATTTAAATGTTGATTATTAACAGTTCCAATAAAATCATTCCTGAGGAATAGCAATCTGTCTACCACTAAATATTTCCACGTCAGAAATAAGAAGAGAATGCCGCTAAAATGAAAATTCACTATTGGGTCACACAAGTTTCTAAAATCTTACCAGTCACTCATTAAAATGTGTTGTAGAGATTCATCATTTGACCAAGGGCTTGTTGTTGCAGACATTTTCCGGTCAGCTCCAATCCGAGGGAACAGGGAGAGCCAGGGGAAGGCGGGGTGGAGCCAGTAGATGAGGCTCTGCTGGAAAGCACAGCGAAGCTCCGTGCAGAGCTTGGGGTCCTGAAAAACGGGCAGCGCACAGGTTTGAGCCCAGAAAGATAACCTTTCATTAAAAAGACACTGAACACACCAAACACTCATCTTCACTGCTTCCTAGAGTTACGTGTTGATAATGGATACAGGGGCTAACATGTAGTTTTCTCACATTTGGGAGAACCTCTTGTCAGCAATTATTGTCTACCCAGCCATGTATCACAAGGAACACTTAAAACACAGATGGGAACATTCTCTGTCTCTACCATCCTTGAGGAAAATGACTACCCTTTTTATCAGGAAGGCAGGGACTGTGTGTGAGCATGCGTGCAGGCATGTAGGTAATAAAACATTTAACCGCCCACGCCCCCAGCACTGTTTAAAAAGTAGCCAGTGCTCTAGCCAGTTTGGATCAATGGATATAGCTGAAGGGTATCCATTTGATTCTGGGCAAGGGCACAATCTTGGTTGTAGGGTTGACCCCTGTGTGGGAGTCAATCAATCAATGTGCCTGTCTCACATCAGTGTTTCTCTCTCTCTCCCTCTCTACTCTCCTTAAAAATCAATGGAAAAATATCTCAGGTGAGGATTAATAACAACAACAACAAGAAAAGACAGTAGCAAGTAAAAACTGGTAACCCAAATCCCAAATCACCCTTACCAATTTATTAAAAATGAGGCACCAAGGTCTCTTTTAGGTAATCCTTTTTAACCTAGTTTAAGTTGATGAGTGCTTAAAAGTAATACTATTGCATTTCTCTAAAAACATTCTAGAATTCATCAACTCTAGTAAATTTACAAGACATCATCATTCAAATAGCAATAGTGCCTTTAAAAAAGAGTGAACTGAAGGGTCCCGGGTTCGATTCCAGCCAAGGGCATGTACCTTGGTTGCGGGCACGTCCCAGTGGAGGGTGTGCAGGAGGCAGCTGATCGATGGTTCTTTCTCATCGATGTTTCTAACTCTCTACCCCTCTCTCTTCCTCTCTGTAAAAAAATCAATAAAATATATTAAAAAAAGCGCACCACTATGACAATACAAAATCTCCAAGTCTTTTTAAAAAAATATATGTTTTATTGATTTCTTACAGAGAGGAAGGGAGAGAGATAGAGAGCTAGAAACGTCGATGAGAGAAACATTGACCAGCTGCCTCTTGCACACCCCCCACCGGGGATGTGCCCGAAACCGATGTACATGCCCTTCACTGGAATCGAACCTAGGACCCTTCGGTCTGCAGACCGACGCTCTACCACTGAGCCAAACCGGTTTCGGCCAAAATTTCCAAGTCTTTATGTCAAAAGAAAAACTTATTAGAAGGAAATATCTCTGGTATTTTTGCAGAAGTAAAATTCACACTGAATTTGTTATTTTAAAACACAGCTCTTTTCTTTCAGAAGTACCTGTACACTGGGAGGCAGAGTGACTTCTGTTGCTCTGCAATGCTGGACGACTCCCTGAGCCTCTTCCTGTGCTTTCAAATGATCTGCCCAGGTGAAGGGGTGAGGAGAGGTGAAAAGGAGTCGAGTTTTAATACTCCAGTCCACAGGTAACTCTGTACTTCTTGAGGACGGCATATCAGATTCGGAGAATGATCTCTGTGAAGTCTTTTAGAAAACAAAGAACACAAAATTAGTCGAGTAGCAAGGAAGAAACCTTCACTCTACAGATTTCATTAACGTATACATGACCATTGAAACGTCAAAATTTTAGAAAATGTGTAATAAATAGCTTAGATAATATACTGCACACCATGAAAAAGTCTGTGGACAGTAGTTATCTCTGGGAAGTAGGGATTTTTTGGAGGTGATGGTGGAAGATACAGGTTACACTTTTTAGCGTAGACAGTTCTATACAGTTTAGTTATAAAAGGCATGTGCTGCCCAGGGTTGGCTCCTGGTTGAGCATTCACCTATGAATCAGGAGGTCACTGGTTCAATTCCCCGTCAGGGCACATGCCTGGGCTGTGGGTTCCATCCCCAGTGTGGGGTGTGCAGGAAGCAGCCAATTTGTGAAATTTCTCATCAGTATTTCTATCTCTCCATCCCTATCACTTCCTCCCTCTCTAAAAATCATTGAAAAAAAAATCTACAAAAAGACATGTTATTTTCGTGATCACAATTAAAGAAATAAAAACTATTACTAATGTTGCTATCAAAGCAGACATCTTCCAAGTATTTCACAAACACCCTTGAAGCCGCTCAAACTCTGGAACCGGGCTGAGCTGCCCTTGGGTAGGGCTATGCGAACATATTCAGCAATATTCTCCTCATTACAATCGTTTTTCAGGTGACATCACAGAAACAGAGCAAGGAAAGGGGGACATTCCAGTGGGTCCTGTGAGGGCCATTTCTTTACCAGGAAGGGAGACTGGTATTGGGGGCCCTGGTGGCAGCCTCACAGCACAAGCACCTGGGGCACGGAGGGTGTGTGTGTGTGAGTGTATGTGTGTGAGAGTGTGTGTGTGTGTGTGTGTGTGTGTGAGCGCGCGTGTGGAGGGGTGGCGGAGGGGTGTCAGCCGCCCCAGCGGCACCCGCTCCTGTGGGGGGAGGCGGGATGAGGGCTCGGCGGAAGCCACGCTCCGCGCAGGTGGCAGCGGCGGGAGTGAAGGCACCCGCCCCTCCACCCGCGAGGCCGCCCGCAGGGCGCACAGCGATGGCTCCCGAGGCGCTACCTGGGGCGGCGCGGCCAGGGCGGCTCCTCCCGGCTTCTCGGCCCGCAGCTCGCCACGCTCCGGAGGGGAACCTGGAAACTGAGGCAGGCGGGTCAGCCGGGCCGAGGGCCGGCGCCGGGCACCGCGGCGCAGCCCGCGGACCGCCCGGCCTCCGGGGAGACGCACGGCCCGCGGCTGAGGAGGGCTGCCCGCCGCCGGCCCGCTGCCCGCCGCCGCCCGGGCCCCCGGAGCGCCCGCCGCCGGCCCCACTCACCGCGCCCGGCGCCCCGGGCGGCCCGTCCTGAGGCTCCGCGGCGGCCCGCGGCCGGTTGTCCAGGCGGGCGAAGGGGTTCCTGCCGGGCGCGCCCGGGCCGCCGCCTCTGCCCGCCGCCGGGTAGGGGCGCAGGGGCAGCCCGGCCGCCAGAGCGGCTCGGCGGGGCTCCGGCTCGGGCCGCCCCCCGGCTGAGCGCCGGGCCCCCAGGCTCCGGGCCCTCCTCCGCCGCAGCCGCAGGGTCTCGGGCGGCTTTTTGAAACCGGGCGAGTAGCCGGGCACCGACAGGGCCATGACGCGCGGCGGCCGCACAGCGCCGAGCGGCCACCACAGGCGCTTCCCGCGCGCGCCGGCCCCGCCCCGGCGTGGCCCCGCCCCCTGCGCGCGCGCGCGCCCTGGGCCGCCCCGCCCCCGTCTCCCGCGCGTGCGCCCTGGGCCGCCCCGCCCCCGTCTCCCGCGCGCGCGGGCGGACCCGCCGCCAGCCTGGAGGTGCGGGCGCCCCCTGGCGCCGCTGCGGGCGCGGCCCGGTCGCCGGGCGGGTGGCTGGAGCGGTGCCGCCGCACTCCCTGTGGACGGCGCGGTGACCGGCGGGGAAGGAGACGCGAAGCTGAGGGCGCAGTGACCGCAGCCGGCAAAGGCCTGGTGCCCGGCCGCCCTCGCCCCCCGCGGGACGGCCGCGGGCTGCGGGCCGGTCCCGGCGGCGGAGTGGACGGACACGCCGTCGGCAGGCCCGCGCCTACAGCGGACCCACAGAACACTAGTCTCTTCGCGGAAGGAAGGTTGGGACGGAGGAGGTACATAAACACGGGGACGAGGAGACTTCCAGAACATTCCCTTTAGGTGTTAATTACAGACGTACATTAACTTTTCAAAGCCTTTCCGGGCATTTGAAGTAAATAACCATCTTGTCTCAGCAGGAAGACATGCTTAAAAATGGAACAACTTGCTTTTATCTTCCTTGACGTTTCTCAGCAGTTTCCAGGGAAACTGCTTCGAATACAGGGAGGGCCGTCCCCCGAGCCCGAGCCCGGACGTCAGAACTGAACCACTTGCTTTTTCCCGGCCGGGCCTTCCTGGGCCGCCTCCATGGCCGCCCGGGCCTCGTGCAGGGCGACGGGCTCCGCCAGGCGCGGCCTGAGGGGGAAGCGGGAGAGAGAAGAGACGCTCAGGCTGGAAGCCGCTGCACCTCCCTCATTACAAGTGATACCAACTCGTCCATTGGTATGCCCACCATCAAAATACGTCAATTTTTTAAAATGTTTTTATTGATTTCAGAGCGACAGGGGAAGGGAGAGACCGAAACACCGACGTGAGCCAAAACCTGGGCGGGCTCCTCCTGCACGCCCCCTAGAGGGCACCCAGCCCCCAATCTGGCAGGTGCTCTGACCAGGAATTGAACCCTGGATCTGGGGTGCACAGGGCGACAACCAACTGCGGCACACCGGCCAGGACCGAAGTGGTTACATTTTAAAAGGGAAAAACGGCTCCCTCTTTTTGGTAAACAGATTAAAAATCGTTTAACTTTTCCCTCTTCTCAAGGTTGCTTTGGGAGGGGGATGACGTGGGTGTGGAATGGAGGGAGGGAAACTCAGGAGCCACTTGTATCTTTGGGAACACTTACTGGTGTGCCACAACACACAACTCTGAGACATGTTACCGCCTTCGGGTCTGGCTCAGTGGATAGAGTGGAGGCCTGGGGACCGAGGGGTCCCAGATTTGATCCCAGTCAAGGGCACGTGCCTGGTTGTGGTGCGGGCTCGATCCCCAATAGGGGGCGTGCAGGAGGCAGCAGATCAATGATCTCTCTCATTGATGTTTCTATCTCTACCTTCCTCTCTGAAATCAATAAAAAAAAGTTTTTGTTTTTTTTAAAGAGAAATTTTAAGGAGCAGCTATTTAAACAAAATAAAATATGGAGGCAATAGGTGTGCTGTGAAAGCTGAAACAAAAATGCCAGCCTTATCCCCTTGAGAACAGAAAAGTAAATCAGAACAATGATTTCGTATTCAGCGTACCTAAAAACACCAGTTGCTAACTTCTCCATCACATCTTTTAAGACACGTAGCTGGAAGAGTAGTTAAGGTGGCAAGTGAAAGACAGGTTTAAAGAAAAGCATTCAATCAGCTGGAGATGCTAGGCAGTTCACTTTAAAAAAATTTTCATACTCTCACAATTTAAAAATGGTTACAGAAATTGTGTAAACTGTCAAATTTCTCTAAAAAATAAAAAAGGGAAATGATATGAGAGTGGAGGTAACATAATAGAGCTAAACTCCTACAAACAAATGGTGAAAGAAGCAAGCCCCCTGCCTGTCCTAAGGAGTGACTAGGTGTTTCCCAGAAAGATGGTCATGGAGTGGTGTCAGGTTTCACTTAGTACCACTTAGTGACTTTGTTAAAAACACCATTTACTGTGGGTGCACATTTATTTAAGAAATGGCTATAGACTCCCAATTTGTGTGCAGGAAAGTTGATAAACTGTGTTGGTGTGACATATGCAACTAAGAGAGTCAGAAAATGAAAATTTTAAGAGATCTAGTCATTTAACTGAAATTTGAATAGTAGAATTGAAAGTGTAATTGCTAGTACTGGAGAATTGTTTATGACAATAATTGGAAGGAGAAGTCTATGTTAAATCACAAGCAGCAACACCTGGGAGAGGCTTGTGTAAGTGAGACTAAAGTCTGATTGAGGACTTCAGAAAATGTAAATTAAAAAATATAAACATAGACATTTTAAAGATTTTTTAAAGGACCTAAAGAATATGGATTTACTTATTCATACTATAAATTCTCTTTCTACTTCTGTTAATGAAATTGCCAACAGTATGCATAAGAGAGTATTTGTCATGTGTATTTTTGATTTTTGAAAATTTAACATTTCATTGAAACATGTTATGTGTCAGCATGGTCCAGGGGTTTGTTAAGTAGGTTTGAATCATCTCTGGTGGGGAAGAGAGGGCAAGTGAAAGAATTAAGTAACATGGGCAAAGCAGCCATCCTCTATTCTGACATGTAAAATTCAAAATATGCTATTGCTTTTAATACATGTTGTTCCTCTGTTGTTAATACGTAATGGTGTTCTTGATTACTATAATGTAATTGGACATTTAAGTTGCTTTAAATTGAAATTCCAACAAAATTCTTCTAGAAAGTTAAAGACTAACTTTATATTCTAAATTTAATAGGAAAATATTTAATCAGAAATAGCGAGTTACTAATACACTCGCTACATTAAGGGGCCTTTCCAGTTTTGAAATGTACTCTTTAAAACTCAACATATACAGCACAATGATGAAACCCTAGCTGAAGGCTCTGCACCCTCTGACTTGCTCGTAGGCAGGCTGCCCTTTGCACACATCACTCGTGGAATGACACGCTGAACGCCAAATGAGAGCCGGTGGAGGCAAGCACGGGGCTCTTCCTGCACGCACAAGGGCACTATTAAGTACAAGAACTTATTTTTATTTATTTATTATTATTATTATTATTATTATTTATTTATTTATTTTTACCAATTTCTTAAAGATTTTACCAAGAGCAGCTGCCTTTAGGACAGTCATCTTAGAAATAAAGGGTTTATTTGTAAGTTCACCTTGCTCTGAGGAGGCTTGGATCTTTCTTTTGGAACTGCTTTCATATTCTCATGAAAACTTTTCATTCCTTTTACTCAAAATAGATTTGGCTTCCTTTACCAGATTTGTCTCTGAGTAACTTCCATTTTAAAAATCAAACTCCTCTTCAGTTGATTTCTTAGCATTGGTAATCTTACAAACACCCCACAAACTCTTTAACTGAGGTATGTGTTCCAAAGGTTCTGCACAATGGAACCACCTTAGGTGTAAGAATGCCACCTCTCAGGGTGACGTGGAATTTCCATAATGCCAGGGCCAAACCAAGACAAACTTCCATGGAACTACAGCTATCTCCTATTCAGACACACGCAAGGCTGCCTGGGTACGATTCCAGTCCAGCCACTTGCTAGCGGAAGCTCTGGGCTTGTATTAATTAACCTGTCTACAACTCAGTTCCTTCACCTGTGAACTAGGAATGATAATACTACGCACATCTCAGAGGGTGGTTTTAATATGTAAGTAAATTAATCCGACCCAGCCTGTGGAACATTGTTTGACATGATCAATGAAAGTTAGCTGCTATTATTTATTATTGCCATTATTAAAGAACTTAATTATGATAATGCAAGGTAAATTTCAAGCCAGAAACTCAAGTCAGTAGAAAAAAAGGATATAAAGATACTTTCCTTGTTGTACATTTGACAAATTCCAAACTTCGTCATTAAGGAACGCCACTGTTGCTCCCTTGAGGAAGAGGCAGTGGCTATCTGGAGGGTCCAGCTTGGACAGAATGCACAAAGACTGATCAACACTGAGGTTAACAGCAGAAGGAGGACTAGTATCTTGAGCCAGAAAAATTCCACACCAATTAAATAATACCCAAATCATAAATGACCAGCACACAAACTTAATAACAACATGTGAATCATGTTTCCTTTTGCATTTCATTCTCCCAAATGATGAAACAGCAAGATCAGATGCAAGGCCAAACCAGAATCCTGATGGTGGAGAAGTAGAGTGTGTGTGTGTTAGATTTCTGGCTGCTACTTCCCAGTCATTTTCATGAGGATGTCAGAAAATCATGAAGACTGGTATATGAAAATTATGGCATTTGCACATCAACCATGATAAAAATATTTAATTTCAATTTTGTTAAGAAATGTACTTTTGGGAGAAAGTGTATATCCTATTCTATATGATAAAAGCCTAATATGCAAATTAATCAAATGGCAGAACGACTGGTTGCTATTATGCACACTGACCGCCAGAGGGCAGATGCTCAACACAGGAGCTGCCCCCTGTTGGTCAGTACGGTCCCACAGGGGGCCTGCTGCTCAGCTAGAAGCCAGGTCTCTGCTGGTAAGTGCAGCGGCAGGGATGGGAGCCTCTCCTGCCTCCGAGCAGTAAGGAGCAGCGAGGAGGCGGGTGGTAAGGAGCTAGGGTCCTGGACTGCAAGAGGGATGTCTGACTGCTGGCTTAGGCAGACATCCCTGAGGAGTCCCAGACTGCGAGAGGGTGCAGGCCGGGCTGAAGGACCCACCCCCAGTGCACGAATTTTGTGGACTGGGCTTCTAGTATACATATATATACATATGTGTGTGTGTGCGCGCGCGCGCATATACATGTATATATGTATATATAAATACATATATACACACAATTATAGCATATTCCAATTAGAACATAGTTAGGAAATTGTGATAATTTTGTATAGAAATATTTTGCTAAGTTTATGTCAAAGTTTGTTACTAAGAAAAAATCCTTACTCTGGCTTGGTTGGTTGGAGCATTGGCCCATATACCAAA